TCCGGTGATGAGGAGACAGAGACGAGGGAGTTTGACAATGCGAGAGCCGGTCGAGCAACCCGCCTAGTGTGGGGGGCAGCACTGACTGATGGCCCCACGTTCTTATACTATGAGGTCGGGGATGCCGCCCGTCTCTCAAGCTTTGCTTGGAGGGGACCTTCGGCGGCTGGGGGCCCGCGCGACAGAGATCGCCCAGCGCCGCCCTCACCGGCGCCTGCGCCCCCCCTTGTCCTTGCCGCTCTTCTCCCTGCGGCTCTTCCGCGGTGGCGGAGACTCGCTGTACTCGTACTCTTCGTCGCTGTAGTAGTCGTACTCGTACTCGCTCGGCGTCCGATCGCGGCGCCGGCGGCGGCCGCGGTCCCTGCCGCCGCCGCCGCGCCGGCCCCTGTCTCGATCGCGGCCGCCGCCCCGGCGGTCACGGTCGCGGTCTCGGTCGCGGTCGCGCCCGCCGCGGCTCCTGCTCCGGCCGCGGCCCCCGCCGCCGCCGCCGACGCCGGGGCCGATGTGGGCGAACCGGCAGCTGTCGCCACGGAAGCACTTGCCGATGGTCCAGTCGTAGCACCTCTCGCGGATGTCGTCGCCGTCCTTCGGCCTGTGCTCGGCGACGTCCTCCGGCTTCTTCTCGTCGCACTCGCCCCCGCGGCCTCTCTGGCAGACGTCGTTGCGGGCAAAGTTGTGGAAGTCGCACTTCGGGCACATCCAGTCCCCGGAGCGGAAGCCCGCGGCCCCGGCCATGCCGCCGGGCGCCCGCGCGCGCGCGCGCCCGCGCGCGCGCGCCGCCTATAGAGGAGGGCCCCGCCGCCCCGCCAAGAACACCCCTGGAGCCACAGCAGGATGATTGCGGGAAGGAGGTGTGCGGCCAGACCTTTTTTTTGTTAGTTTTTTTGTTTTTTTGTTTATGAGGCATGATATCTGCATGAAGTGACAGAGGTGGCGTTCTCCGGTCGCCGCCCCCCCTCGCGGGAGGTCGCCCCCCCTCCCTGGGACAGAAGAACATCGTTCGAGGACATGAGGCCTTCCGCCGGCCAAGACACACAGAAGATCCAAGGGTACCGTTCCCCGATGTGCACGAGGGCATCCCACGGGCACGGAGAACCTTCGGGTACCCTCCCTGAACCGACCTCGACACTGTACCCCTGTTCGACCGTAAGAAAAGACCCCTGGGCCTCCAAAAGCACCACCACACGTCCCAGTCCCCTGGCTCCTCATCCCCGTCCTCCTCCATCCTCCATCTCCTCGAGCCGTCAGGCCGAGGCAATTTTCAAATGCCTCGCCACCGCGGATAAGCGGTGCAGCCTGGGCGCCGTGTGGCACCGCCTGTATGCGGTGTGGGTCCGATGATGTCAGATCCTTCTCCCGCCCGCGTTCCGGGTGCGATAAGGATAGGGCGGAGGGCGGCACTTCCCGCTGGGAGGTTCGTGGTCGTTCTTCGTCGTCCTTCGTGTCTCGTCTCGTCGTCGTATCCGTCGCCCTTTTCCTCTTCGGGAGTTGCGGCACGGCCCTGGATTAGGTTCCAGGGTGGACGTTGTTTGCGCTCCTGGGCCGGAGAGTGGCCCCCTCCCCCTCCCCCTCCCTGCTGCCGCTGCTGTTGCCGTTGCAGCTGTCAGGCCAGGGTTTTTAGTACCCTGCCACCTCGGCCAAGAGGTGCGGCCTGGGCGCGGGAAGACCCCAGTGGCACCTCCTGGTCTGAGGTGTACCGCCGTTTGACGACCACGGAGGCGGGGCCCGCGGCTTTTCCGCCTGTAACCTCTTGGTTGCAGTGCTCTTTGCCGCGGGCACACTGTTGCCGTGCTTGTGAGGGTGCGGGCGCTGGGCAACGCTCCGTGTATTGTCCCTTGGGCGCCGATCCCGAACCCCCGTGCGCCATTTTGGCGAGGGGTGTAGGGCGGTCCTTGGTTTGCTTTCTTTTCCTTGATTTCCTCCCTAAGGCACAGCGTTTCTGGCGCTATTGGGAGTTAGTCAAGGAAAGGAGGCCGGAGGTCAGGTCCCAGCTTGTGTCCGTGATTCCCTCTTTTTGCGCGTGTGCCCTTGGTTTTGGCCGTTGGCCACGTTGGCCGTTGGCCAGGGCACGTTGGCCCGCGCTTTGCTGAGCGCCACGGTTTTGTTCTGCCTTTTGGGCCTGCAACATCCATCTCCTCGCGGCTGGCACCACCTGCGCACACGAGCGGCCCAAACCTTCAACAATGTCTTGAACAGATTCGAGACGGACGTTTCCCGCGAGCTTCGGCCGCCATGCAGGGCCCGCTTGCGGGCCTCAGGACGGTCAAGAGCAGGATCTGGTGTCACAAACCGGCCCAGGGAAGGGATCGGGACTGCTGGGGGTCGCCCGTTGAAAAGCAGCACAACGTCGGATGCTTGGGGGGAGGGGGGCGGCAATCCAAGCAAGTTCGTCTTGCACTATGGCCAGGCGACGTTCGACGAATCTGCGCCCCTGGCTCTGCAGCGGCAGGGGAATATTCGGAGCACGGGAGGGCGGCCGTCCAGAGAAGCCCCGCCTGCTTCTCCAGGGCCCCGAGGGGCCTTCTCTGGAGCTGGCTCCGGGCAAACGCGGTCTTTCGTAATGGCAGGGGAACAAAAGGTGACATAAACATAAAAACTCGGAGGTCCGCGCGGACTTCTCGGGTCGGCGCTGGGGCCCCCCGGCGGCGCCTGTGGCGCCGCCCCTGGCACGCTCCGCGCGCCAGAGAGGGGGGGGTCCGGGGTCCAGCGCGGATCCGAGAAATCCGCGCGGACCTCCGAGTTTTTATGTTTATGTCACCTTTTGTTCCCCTAAAGGGGGGCGCAAAAAAACCATTTGCAATAGTTCCTCCTGTGGCTCGTGGCGCGTGGCCTCCCTCACGGACCAACGGTGCCAAGTGCAACGCGAACTGCCCGCACCCGACAGGATCCAGCACGAACGATTGCACGACATATGGCGCACATGTTGGAACCCCCCTTTGCAAAAGACCCATTCGCCCGAATCCGAAGAAGCTGGTCCCCGGAGGACTCCAGTCTCGGAAGACCCCATACAGTCAACCCGTCTCATAAGGATGCGCAGGAAGGGTGCAAGGGCCTTGGAGGGCCAAGTTCACGTTTTTCGAACGAGGCTGGCCAGCGAAAACGGCCAAGGATGGACCGATGAGGCAAGGATGCAAGGGTATCCTTGGCAAGGTTGCCCATCCTTACTATGCAGTTTGACTGTACCGTCTTAGAAGAGCCCCCCCCAGGCGCTTTCAACAGCCAAGGGGCTCTCCAGGGCCTACAGGTGTGGACCGAGAGCTCCCCAAGGATTTCGCGGCTGCTCCAGACGTGGCGGCGTGAAGTCTCCGTGAGGATCAAAAGAAAAATAAAAGAAAATCTGCGTCCCCCGCACTTCTTGGAAGCCGCCACCAGACTGGAGTCGAACCCAGGGCACAAGAACATCCCTCAAGAACGCGGCCTTTCGCCGGCCAAAACGCACAGAGCATACAAGGGTACCCCCCCAGGGTGCACAAGAACATCCAACAAACACGAATAGAACACTGGGGTACCCTCCCCAAACGAACCTCGATCTTCTACCTCCGTCCGACTGTACAAGGAACTCTCCCGGACTACACTGAACTACCCCTGAACTATACGTAGCGGGTTCCGGAAACCCTGAACCCAAAAGCCCAAGCACGTTTTGATCTTTTGGGGGCACATCTCTTACGTCTGCCGCCTTCCGCCGCCCTTCCGCCAGCTTCCGCAGGCGGAAGCGGCCTGGTTTTACTCCCGCCGGCCTTCCGCCAAAGAAGAGATGGCACCTCCTTCAATCCTCGAAGGCAGAGACCTTTCCGGAACGCCTCACGTGTAAGGACCTCCCCCCCCACCAGACTGTTGGCACCCTCCTCTGGACTACAGGTGCTGGCCCTGCCACCTCCCACACCACTTACCTTTAGCAGGGACCGACCGCCCCGGCATTCCTAGAGGCCTACCCCGACATGTTCCTAGAACCCCCAAATCGTCTGATAACAAAAAGCCAGGTCCTTAGAACAGAAAACAGATGTGCTCACACAAAAGAAGTCTCAGCCAGAAATGGTCTAAGAACGTTTCGTGCAGGCCACATGAGGCTTGTTAAACAATTGTTGGCGGGCTTCTCAGCAAGCCGGGACGCTGCGCCACTGTTCGAATGTAGCTCTATACACATCCCGGGCCGCTCCTTGATGGCCGCCGGGCCCCGCAGTTCGCCAAGGGCCCCCAGAGGCCTAAACAAATCGCCCCAAGCATCTGTGCGGCTGCTGCCCCGACGCGAGCATCCCAGGACCAGCAGCAGAGTGAGAGAGAAAGGGTAAGAGAGGAGGAGGAGGAGGAGGAGGAGGAGGAGGAGGAGGAGGAGGAGGAGGAGGAGGAGGCGGAAGCGGAGGAGGAGGAGGCGGAGGAGGAGGAGGAGGCGGAGGCGGAGGAGGAGGAGGAGGAGGAGGAGAGTGGAGTGGAGTGGAGGGAGTGGAGTGGAGTGGAGTGGAGTGGAGTGGAGTGGAGTGGAGTGGAGTGGAGTGGAGTGGAGTGGAGTGGAGTGGAGTGGAGTGGAGTGGAGTGGAGTGGAGTGGAGCACACCGAAAAGCGGACGGGTGCACGAGCGCCCGCCGCCCTCAGCCGCCCGCGATCGCCGCGGGCGAAGCGGCGCGCAACATACGCGGCGCTGGGCCGAGGGCCCCACCGACGGGGGGGCGTGGTGGGTTCAACCCTCGGCCCAGAAAGGCCAGCGGCGGGGGGCTCACGCCCAGCTCGCCCGTGGCGAGGCGACCCCGCCCCGAGGCCTCGGCCACCGCGGCCCCTGCAGCCCCGCCCCCAGGTATGCCCCCGATGGGGCTCCCATCCATCGGGGATGGACAGACCCCCCTTTAGTAAAACGTGGTTTAGTGAAAGCGACCTGAGGCCCCAACCTGGCGGGCGCAAGCCTGGAAACTAGCGGCCGCGGCGCCCTCTCGAGAACCGAAGACGGACAATTCACGAATCGGCGTGTCCCTGTTGGGGGTTCTGTCCGCCCCCGAAGCGGGCGCGGGGCGCGGCGGCGGCCAGGCCGCGAGCCCCGCCGTGGGGCGCGCCCGACGAGCTCCTCCACGCGCGCGGCGACGGGGCCGAACACGACGGCGAGGAGGTGGCCAGCACACCTTCGAGACTGTCAGCAGAACTTGCACCAGCTGCGAGCCAGCACGCCCGCCAGGCACACGAGAGACGCCACTGCTGCGGGCAGTTCTCGCCCGAGGGGGGCACGCTCCCCGCCGCAGTCCCCGCAGGCGTCGGCGGGACGGGTCCTGCCACTGCGCCCCAGTCGATTCGTGGGCCAGTGGGCACCGCGGACCGTCGCCGCATTCGCCACACCTCCGTGCCGCCGAAGAAGCTGCTCGCGCTCCGCGTCGCCTGCCCAGTCCGCCGCTGCGGCCAGCGGTTGGGCAGTCATCCCCCGTGGGCGCCCTGGGGCCGCGCCCTCGGCGCCAGCGGCGGGCCCGTCCAGCGGCACTGCAGGGGTGCCCTCTCCGCGCTCCAGCAAAGCATCGTCCCCATCTGAGGGCGCGGAGCGGCCGCCCAGCGGTTGACGCCGGCGCACCACTGGGCCCGCTCCGTCGCCTCGTCGTGCTCGCTCGCGCGGTCCTCCGACTGCGCGTCCGCCTCCGTCTCGGCTGGTGCTGCAGCCTCGGCCGTCTCCCCAGCCGTGGGTGGCACACCGCTGCAGCCGCCGCGGGGCGCGGGCTCGCGCATCGCCTCCAGTGCCTGGGCCATGGCCGCCCCGAAGCGGGAGATCGCCGAGCCGCGGTGGCTGGCGACCTCGGCGGATGCCTTCAGGAGGCGCGCGGCGGCCCGAGCGTCCGCCCGCCGATATCGAGCG